CCACAATGGGTTCAAAAAACTATTTGGAGTCTGATTCATTGGACCTGAGAGTCAAATATTTTCATCAACAAGGAGGCTTTAGGGTCAAAAGCAAATTAGAAATGATATAAAAGAAAGAAATGGCAAGCCATGTTTACACCATGACTATACTACTCATGGATAAAATGTTTAAATTTCAGGTTTTAAGTTTTCAGCTTTTCCAAGACATGATTCATGACACCATTTCATTGTTTTGATGCAAAGAGACATTGCCACCCATTTATTTTTTCTGAAGTGGACTGAGAAGTAGTTACTTTAATGGCCAGTTATAGACATCTGTAGCCAAGTTCCTTGGTTCCTCAGATATCATGTGGAAGGTGCATTGGAATAGGGTATGCCCATCTGTTTCCCTTAAAGCCTACACTGAAAAGGGCACAGAATTTTAGATTCTTTCCACTCATGTACTTCATTTGCAATAAATAACACTTCATTGTAAATATTTCAAATTTCCTGTGCTGAATACCTGCCAGATCAAAAACTGACAAATTTCAAATATTATGTAAAAAATAATGAATGGCATGGTACACACTGACAATCTAGATATCTGAGACTATTTTTGTAAGAAACTGTTATCCCCATTCTACAGAAAACTGATCTAAGGTACAAAGTGATTGATTTTTGAAGAGGCGTCACAATATGGCTGAATTTACATGTACAAACCTGTTTTTTCCTAAATTTATCAGCTAAGAGAACACACACATATGCTTAACAACAACAACAAAATTAAGTCAGTCAACACAATAGTGAAACCAGTGTTCTGACAACCTAAGCCAGTGGCAGGGATCTGGACTCCCATCTACACGTCTGAGTTGCACATTTTTAAGCTTTTACATGTATAATCTATCTTTTTCTATAGAAATACTATAGACCAGAGACCTCAGTAAAAATTTTAAATTATTATCTGTTTCTATTTTCTTGGATATGAAATCCTGGAAACATTTCTACTTTTCTCTGCAAAACACCAACAAGCCTGAGTTTTAAGTCTAAAGATTTAAAAACAAACCAACCTGATATTACCCCTTACATGACTGTGCCTTAACTTTCTAACTGTAAAATGGTATGATCACATGGCCAACATGTTACACAAATCAACAAAAAATTTTTAAAATAACTGTAAAACTCTTCTGAAGACACAAAGTTTTATGTACATTCTAAAAAAGCTATACTACTCCAGGACAGGTGTAAATACAAATCTCTTCAATGATGTACTGGAAACAGGCTAGAATTCAATAAAAGCCTTTCATTTTCGCTGTCAGAGGAAATGTGCCTTAACAAGATGGGCCTAAGACTGATTTAAGTTCGCTCCCTTTGTGATTTGGGTTCATCTGCATTGATTTCATTTAGAATTTAAGCAACAAAAATAGTGCTTACTTCTTCAAAGTTAGTAAAATCACAGTAGGAGGCAAAGTCAGGAATGCTATTTCAAACTATGTTCTTGAGAGCCTCTTGGTAAAAAAGCACAGTTAAGTTACCTGATGAACACACCATATTCACCAAACACTTGACAAGTGGAACAGTTCTGGATTAAAATTTTTGCTCATAAATTTCTGTGTGTAGTAAGAGATGGTCTGCCTTTCTTAACAGAAGTTATGTTAAAACATCATTTTTGTTCCCTACTTAACAAACTAATCTCAATATTTCCCCCTTCTACTTCAACTGACATTAAAAAAATAATAATATGGCATCATTTACATTAGGGAGGTGATATGACAAGTACCCTATCCAAATCAAGAAAAGTTAAAACTCCCCTAAAACACAAATTTTAAAACTAAGATAGTAATAACACCTGTAATCCATAAAGCAAAAACTTAAAATATATGCAATTACTGAATTAGTGAAAAAAGCTGCTTTGTCCAGAAGAAATGTTAAGCCTCTTTTCAATCAAATCATAAACGTTAGTCTTGATTTCTGGAAGACTGAAATGCTTAGCTAAATCAGCCCTGGTTTACAACTTCTTTTCAAGAAATTTCTTAAAGGGTCAAATTTAGCCCTTTGGTACCTTCTCTAGTAAACTTAATGATTCCATCCTATGAAATAATGATAACTGTTAATCTTTGACAAGAATTATCCTAGAACTCTTTAGATTCGGAGATGGTTATTATAATATTCATGAATTATTGGGGGCAGATGATGATTTAACTTCTGGTCAGCTACAAAACAGGCAGTAAAGTTTCTAAATTGTACTTTCTCCATGTGCTTCAACCATCACTTTGGAATGAGAGGGGAGGAACAGAGGAATATTTGATTGATGTAAAATGTTAAGACTTGGCATATTTCACTTAAAAATCATCTGTATCAAAATCCATTATTTGCATTTTTTTTCCAAAAAGGGGGAGTATATGTGTTCCTTTGAAATATATATATATATAGCACACTACAGCATGCTATTTTATATATATGTAATATATGTGGATCTCATCTTTTGTTCAAATATAGTATTTTAATGATGCCAAAATATGACCTAGTAGATCTTATGTCACAAATAATTTAATGTTAAAAACTGAGGGGAATAAATAATGCTGCTTCTCCAAACCTGGAATTCCTGCTTTATCATTTCAAGTAGGTTACAAAATTCCTACAAAAGAATTTAGTCTCATCCTTCAATTTACCTTTTCTCTCCTAGGCACTATTATCGTTATATTTGCATTCATTTAATGAAGAGACAAAAATCAGGAAGGGTACTTTCCCCTTAAGATGTGATTTATTCATATCTTGTTCTTATTTTTTTGAAGGAGGTGATACATGTGAGTTAAAACATATTGATCATCAGGAAATTTTATATATTAAATATTTTCAATAGCTTAATTTTTTTCTTAGAAGTCTATTTGCCTAGTGAGTGAAAGTTTTTTTAAGGTTCTCAACTTAGATTTCACTGTAACTGGAAAAATGTAAAGGTAATTGCAGAGATGGTCAAAGCAGAAATGGTGTGCAGTAAGTAGTCATTTAATACTACTCACACTTGACCTGTTACAGAAAAGAAAATGGAGCTGGCAATGCTCCACACTTGCTTATATCCCCATTAAAACTGTTACCTGCAAATAATCCAAGCGTCATAATTTATATCCAAAAAATTGGAAGCAAAAATCATGTCCACACAGGATTCCTCACAAATTAGTTGATACTTCTATCATTTAAAAAAATCTACAAATAATACTGCAAGCATCAGTTTTCTTATTTGTATGCACATATACTCACATAAACAATGTGATTTACATGTATATGAATATATGGGCATCTACACAGACACATATGGTAGTTTGTCCTAAATTACCAAAGAGAAAATACCATAGGTAACTTTTAAAAACTTTGGTAATTCCTTTTACAGGACTTAGTCTGCCCATCTGTAATCATCTCAAAGGGCAATTAAAATGTTCCCTCCTCAAAAATTAAGAAAAGAAACTAGTTTTTATAAATGACTGGATAGATAAGAGGCTCTTACCCTCCTCCATACCCCCCCTTTTTTTTTTAAGAAAAGAAAAGCATTTCTGTATATAGGATTAGACACTGCAGCACCTTCTTCATGCTAACTGCGCTCTGTTCTGGTCTAGCCAGCAGTGTGTCAACTGGCAGCTTGCGGCTACAGGAGCATCTGCCTCCCAGTTAAAAACAACTCCCGTACAGGCTTTCACAAATGGGAACGCTCTCATTTTACAGCACACACTGGTCCATTCAGTCAGTTAATATTCTCTTTACAAATCATCCCAGCCTTTCCTCACTAACTACACGAGTCCTTCCCCCTCCCTGTAAATGAGAATGGGGAAACTTACATGTGAACTTAAAAGAATTTGGGAGCGCTAGAAGAGACTGACAAGGTATACGTTATTTCCTCCCCTTCCATAGCATAGATGTCTTTATTTTATTCATTTAATTTTACCATCATTTCCCAAGACTATGAATTAACACCCTAAAGGTTGATTTCAGTCCTAGAACTTTCAAGAATCTTTTTTTTTCTTTCTGTTTCCTGGCCTGTCCCTGGTGCTGCCCAAGTTTCTTTTCTGCTTGGGATAAACTTCTCTAAAGCTGCAACCAGAATAAAAGGGACTGTCTGGAGTGGCAATATCTACTTGCTATAATGACCTGCTTGCTTAGACTTTGTAATCTTTCCAGCTTTCTTTCACAATGACTTCCTGAAATTGCTCAGCTCGCATTGTTCCCTATTTCTTTTTTTTTTCCTCTTTATCTCTCTCTCCCCTGCGCACTTTGCTGGGACTGGATTGCACATCAAGTAGCGTGCCTGGCTCAATACCTAAGTGAACACCCTTCAAAGAAAGTCAATTCAACCCGAGGCAGAAGGAAGACCATCCTGAAAGCCTCCCTCTCCTGCCGCCCTCCCCCCCCAAGACTACTACGCCTCTCAAAACTTGTCCTGCAAATGCAAAGGAATTCAAGTGAATAGCTAGCGCACTTTGCTACAACCTTCTTTAAAAGTTACAAACTTTCATGTTGCAAACAGTTCCTCTTCCCTTTATTCTTATTTCTCCATGCAGTTCTCCTAGTGCCTGCCTGCAACCCCCGAAGCCCCCACCCTCAGCCAAGAAGAGAGTCTCCAAATGTCTTCAAAAATAGAAACTGTGATGTGCTGCAGAAGACATCAGTTGACCCCTGCCCGCCCCCCAAGCACGCATACACACGCCCTCCTTCATCTCCCAACCCTAGTTGTGCCTCAAACTGAAGCCAGACCCCAAAACTAGTAAGGGACAAAATAACAATAACAAGAAAACTTTTCTGCAGCGCGAGCGCGCAAACAGGTGTTTTGTTTTTTTTCCCCACCCCACCAAACAAAAAAGAAAAAAAAAAGAGGGAGACAAAAATCCAATTAATGACACATAGTAAGCTAAGCCCTACGGAGAGCGCTGCCCAGGTTAGTGGCACTGACCCTGGCAGCCGAGCGCCTGCCTGCGGGGGAGGCTCCGGAAGCGGCGGCGGCAGCGGCGGCGGCGGCGCTGCGCTGAGTACGGTACCTGCTTTGGCCGAGGCTGGCAGAAGACAGCTCTCCCAGTCCTCTCCAGCTCCATGTGCTGCTGCTCCACCTCGCAGCAGAGCCGCGGCGGCAGGAGGCAGCTCCGCTCTCGGTCCCTCCCCTCTCCACTCCACTTCCTCATTCCAGTGCAACATCACTGCAGCCCGCGGCCAGCTCCAGGCATTTCGCCACTGCTACTATCCTGTGCCTCGCAGCCTTCATTTAAGGACTAGGCAGGCGGCGGCGGCGGCGGCGGCAGCCAGCCCTGGAGGTAGCAGGCTCAGTGATGCTGTCAGAGGACGGCACACCCCTTTCTGCACCGATGGGCCTGGACATTAGAAAATTGCATGGGCATTCTTTCAGCCCCAGTTCTTAACCCTTGGGGTCCCACAGCATCATCAACTTGAGGACTTCCCTAAGGGCGTGTAGGGTGTGTGCCGACACGTGGAAAGTTGGGATGGCTTGTGTGTTTACACCATTCATATGGTGTGTGCTTATGTATGTACATTTTTAAAAGAGAGATTTATATAGCCACTTGCTTGTGCACCCACACATTTGTGCCTGTTTACTAGGAAGTAACAGGTGGAATGAAGATACTGGTACAATCTTTAGTCATTTTCCCATATTTAGCAGCAGTCCGATATGCTGAATTTTCCCAGCCAAACAGGGTCCAGTTGACGTGTCTTTTCTTCTCAGTTCTGGCTGAGGCCTCAGGGTTCAAGTGATGAACAGAGTCTTACATAGGTGGGGGTGTGGAAAAGTGTGTGTGAAAGCCACATGTGTATGGAAGATTCCTAACAGCCAATGGAATATCACTTTTCTCGTTTCCCTCCCACCACTAAGGTAGAAATGAGGGATCCTTCCCCCTTCTCTTTCCCTATACTTGGCACACAATTCACACTCAACCCCCCCTGAAAGATTGAACTCATTAATAGGTTATGCAGACAGCCAACTACATAGCCTGATCTGAGGAGCACAGTGACCCACTGGTCCCTCAAAGTACACCCACAAGTGCCTGAAATTCCCACCATCTGTCACTCCATTGAATCGAAGCATTTAGACTCTAGAAGCACCTAGTCAAATGGAAGGATGTTACTTGGAAGGTTTTTAGCATATCAGAAAAGCTCCAGGAGGTATAATGCAGCACATAGGAAACCTCCAAAAGAGTGGGACATAGGACAAGAAAGTTTTGATCTCCATGAAGTAGGAGACAGACAAGTCCTATTGTGGAGCACTGCCTAGGGAGGTGCACTGCCTAGGGAGGTCAGATGAGGTGCTTCAGAGAAGGTAACCTTTGAGGCACAGCCCTGAGTGGTGGTGCTGGTGGGGGAAGTGGTTTGAAGACAGCCTTAAGTTACTTAACAAATTTGTGTTCTGGCATGTTCATCCATATACCAGAAATAACCAGAACTTAGAGTGATTTCCTTGTGAATTCCTTTCAATATCCTGTTATCTCCCTCCCTTATTATCCCATTCCTTGTATGAAAAATCATAGAAGAAAGGACCTTAGGGATAATCTAGTACAATTTCATCATTTAACAGGTGAATAAGCTGAGACCATAGAACTTAAGTGATTTGTACAAGATCATAATGCTATTAAGTAGCCATGGTAGAAATCAAACCTAGATCTTGGGGCTACCAAACCACCCACCACCATGCTACATCTCTCTGTAAGAAATGCCCTGGCAGCAATGAAAAGTTTCAAAGTATGATTGCTGTGTTTTGAAAATACTACACATTGTTGGTTGGTGTCTCTCATCCAACCGTTTATAGGTAACTGAGAAGGGGAGGCATCCAGGCAGAGCCTGGTTACCTCCAAAGGTGTCAGTTATCAAATAACATTTCAAATTTCTATGGAGTTTTAAGGTTTACAAAACACTTTCCCAAGAATAACCCTTTGAAGTTGCTCCAAGTATTGTTATTCCCATTATAGAGGAGAAAATTGAGGCTGAGGTTAAGTAGTGTGACCAGGCTCACAAATCTAGTGAATACCTGAGGTAAAATTCAAACCCTGGTCTCCTGATCGCAGCTCCCATATTCTATCTGTTATACCATGCTGACTGTCTGATGCTCCAGCGACTCAGATCCACTTCCACTATTGGAAAAATAACTCAGAAATGTGTATGCTACTTGCAGTGGCCAAATATGCCCTCATTACCATTCAGGGACTCTGTTAACAAAATATTTCAAGTGGTAGCTGGATGACTCCAACTATTTTCTACTAGTATGCAAGCAGAGTGAACCCAAGTTTGCTATGTTCAAAAATCCTGTTGTATGAAAATATGTTGAAATTAACTTTTTGGTGGCTTTGAAGCTGTGAAATAGGTAGGGGCAGGGAAACAAGGTAGTTTTGGATGCAGTGATTACTATAGATAATTTTATACAAGCATCCTACTGTTGACTAGTTTGAAAGTCAATGTGTGAAAAACGACATGCTTTCTTCCTTTTAGGGAAAAACAATTTTTGGAGGAAATTGAAAAATATGTGCTGATAATTTTTTTGGCCATCCTATACAGATCAAAAATCACTTTATTTATGATTTCAAATTTCTAAAAGGATTGAATTTTCATAAAAAGGAATATGTTTGTGAATAAGTGTGAATGTGAAAAGCATAATTTATCTAGATAATAATGATTTAAAAATTTCAGCTTTTTAAATACTTTCCACAAATGAAAATACAAATCACTAAACCTATGGAATCCAGCATCTTTTAGTTTTTCCTCACTTTATGATGAACAGGCAAAAATTTAGGAAGAGAAAGAATCTTAAACATTAAAGTAAAACAAAGTGATTTATTATCTTTTCTGGACTTAGAATTCTCCAGTTAAGAAAATAGAGAAACCTCTCCCCAGAGTGCACTGGTTACAACTTTGGCCACATGGAACTTTGCCTAATCATTCTTATTTCTAAATTCTCAGTAGTTTCTACTTCTGGTGCTTCATCTTTATCATCTTCATAGATTTCTGAAAGTCAAAGCTTTGCTTGAATTGAGACCAGTTTCCCTAGCCTTTCATAGGATTTTTTTTTCATGAGTACTTGCAATGAAGAGCAAGTTCTTTCAGAAGCTGCAGAAGGTGTAGGAATCTGAAAAGTAAGATGAGTCCAAGACCGTACCAATCTAAAGCCTTGCTACTGAAGTGCAAAAAGAGCATGGTTGATACTATCCTACATTGTTCTTGAATACGAAATTAAAGATGTTATCTATTCTTTAGGATTTGAAAATATCCCTGTCACACCAAGCATTTAGGGTGCTTGTTTGGTAATTCAATGAAATGCAACAGTGGAACAAATAGAATTTACTTCTTGCCTTTGAATATTGGGTCCAAGAGATTTCATTACACCCTCAAAGTATTAACAGCAAAAGTTATGACATTTCTGAATAAAATCTTTAACTAAAATTTCTTCTCTACTTGAAACCAACAGTATTTAGATTCCCAAAAGTAGTTGATCGTATCCATAACATTTGGTAAGGAATGTCTGGGGTTGGTGGATTATCTGATTTAGATGTAGTCATTCTCATAGATACTTTCCATAAAAATCTTACTTTTACATAGTGAAAAAACCTTTTTGTGAAAAATTTAGGCCAGTCAACATAAAATTTCCACCATAAAGTTTCATTGTAAAAAATTCATGATTTGGGCTCTATAAGATTATCTTAAGAGAGCACAACCTCTGATAGGTCCTGCAGGACAGAAAAAAACAGTGAGGGGCTGTCTCCAAGACCAGCCTACTAAAATTTAAAGATGTTCAAAGCCATCAGGTAGTCCACAAAGTTATTATCATTATTATTATTATTGCTGTACCAACTGAGCTATGACATGATTAAGCACCTGAATGCATCAATCAAGGGATCAGTTGAAGTTTTGGAGGTATTAATATGTGAACATCTTATATTAAACATTTTATTTATTATTGAAAAATGTATCTTTTTTTCTTTTTCATTTCCCCAATGAGTTGGGGAATGGGGTTGAAAAGAAGTGTCTGGGACAAATGAAGTTTTCTTCCTCCTCTTAATTTCTTCCTTTACTGTCCTAGTCAAATAGAGTAGGGAGGAACAAATTGGCTATGCATCATTCATATTGCCTCAGTATCATACAGAAGGGACATACCAACGATCTTTGAAGAGGGTATAGAGCTGCTTTTTTTTTTTTTTGGCTAGGCATTGGGGTTAAGTGACTTGCCCAAGGTCACACAGCTAGTAAGTGTCAAGTGTTTGGTCTGAGGCAGGATTTGAACTTAGGTCCTCCTGACTCCAGGGCCGGTGCTCTATCCACTGCACCACCTAGCTGCCCCCTAGAGTTGCTTTTTTTTTTTTTAATGCAAGTTTGGAACCTCCTGGTGGTTGGTTGCACACTGAAAGCTAAAGGAAAAGGGAAGGATATAGTGGAACATTCAGGGAGGTTCTTTTCTCATTATATCTTGTTCTTTAAGCAGAATGAGCTCAGATAGAAAGATCAATCTCAACTAAACACATACTAGTGAAATTCCTAAGTAACCTCTGTCTTACTTTGTATATCTACTACCATAGCTCCTTTTGAATGAATGAAAAAAGTATTTATTAAGCATTTGCCATATGCCATGCACTAGACTAAATAATCAATAACCAATCTATCCATTTATTAGTTCCAAGAACCGTACTAAATGTTTGGAATACAAAAAAAGAGGCAAAAGGCAGTCCCTGCTCTGAATATTATTTGTTCATCTCCATGTTTTCTTCCTTCCTTCTTCCCAGCCACTGCAGGGAAAGAAGGTTGAAAACTGGAGGATGCTTGCTTACCCAGCGTGATAAACAGTCTTGCTGCATTTTCACCATTTGTCTTAATTTATGCTAAGAACAATTTTTATGCCTTGGTAGCCCTTACTTTGGTTGAGGTAAAGGAAAGCTAGAGTCAAAAGGAGTTACACCTGTTGATCTGAGGTGGTTATAGGGATTTCTATAGCAGCATGTGATAGTGGAGTGAGAGCTGACCTTGGAACAAGGATAACTTGGGTTCAAGTCTCACTTTTGGCATACTGACCAGGTGACCCTGGGCAAGTCATTAATCTCTCAGTGCACTAGACAATTCTCTAAAATTATATATTACCAAACTGAATTAGTAGAAGGATGTTCCTCATTCTCTGAAGTCGCTAGAATTCACAAAATCACAGGTCCAGTACTCATACATATATTGATCCCTAGAGCATCCCACCTACCAAAAGGAAGTAATGCAGGAGAACAAGAGGTTGGGAATGCCTGAAAAGCATTTTCCCCTACAATCTTGGTTGGGCCCCCCATGGATAAAGACTAGCCTGATCTTAAGACATAGG